ACCCCTACTATTCTGTGATTCTGTGATTCTGTAATGTCCATGCCTGGACCCTGGGTCTCCTACTTGCATCTAGTCCAGCTTGAAGTCTGCCAGTGAATTGCACACAGTTGCACCCATGTGCACCAGATAAGTTGGAAAGGATAAACATCCAGCTCAGTGGCTGATGTCCCAGCACAGGGACCCTGTGACTTGTGTTTCCCGCTCCAGGTGCCAGTGCCAAGACACTCGCTTTCTCTGGTCGCTGGCACTGCAAACACATGGACCACTCTCAACCAAGGTCTGGCACTGGTTCCTGGACCTGAGTTCACTCAGTCCTGCCCTCCCATCCGCTGACAGCACTGATCTTTCCTGTCGCACCTTCTGGTTCTGCAAGCTTTGGACCACATTTCCCCAGCATCAGTCCTGCACTGCAAAAGCAGACAAATTTTGCATTTCAGACTTCTTGCAGTCTAAAATAATAATTAGCTGGTCAAGGATGGGGGAGGTTTAGAGATATCAAACTTATGGTGTAGTAAGGTCTGGTAGAGCTATCCAGCTTTGGCTGAGTTAGGTCTACAAACCAGCATCATATAAGCATTTTCCAGGCAGTAATCTTTTCTATCGTTCTTTGTAACAACCTTTCCTTGTTCTTCTATGTATTTTTTCAGAGATACACGGATGAAATTTTAAGTAATGAAGATCCTTCACAGCCACTTATCCCACCACTGCAGCACTACCTGGAAAAACCCATAAACAGGATCCAGCAGTACCAGACTATAATCAAGGTGAAGAGCTTTTGTTCTATGCTTATATCTGATAGGTTTATATCTGATAGGTTTATGTTCTGCTTTGTGCAGCTTGCATAGAAAAATATTTTCATAGAATCATAGAATCATGAAGGTTGGAAAAGATCGAAGATCATCAAGTCCAACTGTCAACTTTCATATTTCTTGTCTTTCTTCTGATGCAACTATAATTAAAAGCTGCTTAAGTAAGCCAGTAATTAGCATCAGTGCTGGTGCTCTCTAAATAGTTTTGTAAATGTAAATCCAGGCAGAGGTTCATGGTCTCCAACCCCATAAAGTTCAGCAAGATTTATCTGAATGAGCTTTAGATATATGCATATACATGTATAATAATTAATACATGTATGTATATGTCCTGACAAGTATGAATTTTCTTCACATTCAGCAACAGGTATGGTATAAAAATAAGCAATTTCCAATGTGTAAGAAATTAACTTACCAGTTTCTCTCCTTGTCTTTTATACTGTCATTATAGTAAGATGAAATTTTTGTTTTCTGAAGTGTTTCATCTTTCAAGTTTTCATCTGTCCTACTGTCTCAGTTTCTAGCCCAGATCACAAATGGAAGTTTCAAAGTAGCATTTTTTAATGGCGTTTTCAATAGAAAATCGCACTGGGATAGTCAGAAAGAAGACTGCCAAAATATTTCTGCATTATAGTATTACAGAAGTGAGCAGTTTGAATAGTTTGAAGAAGGTTTAAATTAACTTTCTAATTTTGAACACCTCCCTGCACGCAAACAACATTTTAAATGGTCTCTTGGAAGAGAGATTAAGCATGACTTCATTACTGAAAAAGAGCAACAGGAACAAATGTGGAAGAAAAGGATACCTTCTATTTCATTTTTTTTCCATCCTCTCTTGGTTTTAATCTAATAATGACTCTTAGTTTAGCACTCCCACATGAGTTGCTTGCCTCATGGCATTGTCAGGGTAAGCACAAGAGGAATGCAATGGATACATTTAGGATTGCTTTGGGTTTTTTTGGTTTTCAATCACGAAAGCATATCTGGTATTTGCTCCAACTTTGTCTTTGTTTAATATCAATTGATATTAAGGAAAAGCCAGACTGACTAGTCTGTGAGGCTGCAGAATGGGTAGGAAAGAGGAGACTTTGGTAGCAGAGCAGCACATGGTGAAAGAACAGGATAAAAGTTGCTCAGATGAAAGAGCTGGAACAGATATTGAGAAAGCCTTTGGCTATCAAGTGAATGTATTTTTTTTTCTGACAGCCCAGTAACATTTTCTTCATTCAACTACAGGAATTAATCCGAAACAAAGCAAGAAATAGCCAAAACTGTACTTTGCTGGAGCAGGCTTATGCTGTTGTGTCTGCACTCACCCGAAGAGCAGAAAACAACCTCCATGTCTCGCTCATTGAGAATTATCCAGGGACCTTGGAAAGCCTTGGTGAACCCATCCGACAGGTAACTGGCATTTCTCAGTCTGTGTTAGTGCTATGCATGCCTTCACTAATTTCTACGTAGCATTAGGTCCTACAAGAAGCTCCTTTAGAGATCATTTCTGGAAGAGTCTTTGCTTATTGCCTTTCTTACTGTTAGAGAGATGTGTCTCCTGGCTTGATTGAGGTTTGAAGAGGAAAGATAACCAAGCTCTTGGGACACTACTCTAGGACTTTCAACACACTCAAATTCCTGTTTCTTTGTAGACTTATTGTGTCATGCTGGGCAAATCATTTACTCTGCCTGTTTGTATCCTGTGTCTTCCATGGGAATCACAGTGTATTGCTGAGGGGAGTTGTAAGGCTAAATTACAGAGATTCTCTGGTGGGCATTCATCTATCCCCATTTATACATCTGAAAAAGAGTCCAATCACACTCCAGGAGTGCTTCCTTCTTCCTAATGATGCCAAGGGGGAACCCGTGTCACTAACTGAGCTGTGTATGTCTCATGGTATGTGAAATGAATGTCCTGCTCCGGTGAAGGAGACCAAGTGAGCATATAAAGTATCCACATAACACACAAAATACAATTTTCCTTTAGCATTTCCATTTCCAAGAGTGTGCCTAACTGAGAAGAGCTCTGTCATTTTCTGGTGACAAATAATACCATTAAAAGCACAATGTAATGACAACCACTGTGTGCACCCCTGTTGGTGCCGTCAGTCTGATGCATCACTTTTAGCATTAGAAACAATCATCTATTGCACTGTAATAAAGCAGAGACACATAAGGTGACGATGTAACAGTAAACATTTATCTGTTCACTGAAAAGTCATGGTAAGGCATCACTGTGGTAATTATTTCACATTTCTCCCTATGCGGTCTTCCTTTTTTTTCCTATCAGGGCCACTTCATTGTGTGGGAAGGAGCTCCAGGAGCTAGAATGGCATGGAAAGGACACAAAAGACATGTCTTCCTCTTCAAAAGTTATATTGTGATCTGCAAACCAAAGCGAGATACAAAGACAGACACCTACAGTTACATTTTCAAGAACATCATGAAGGTCTGATCATTATATCCTCACCTAGAGCATTTCTCTGTCATTTAGAACTTCACGTTTATATCCAGCTTGGACATTTCACTAATCCTTTGTCTGCAAAAATCTTTGCAGCACAAGTAAAATCTATGTCTATCCCAAAATCTCTCTGTTAAACCTGTCAGAAACGTCAGAAAACATCAGAAGCATGAGTGGATTTTTACTGTGCAGCAATGAGGTTACATGTACAAGTGTTTATTCATCTCTGTTACCTCACTGAGTTAACTAAATAATGACGTGATATTGATGTGAATTTTGCTCTTTACAGTATTTGCTAGCATTTGTATATTTATGGTTTTGGCAGTCTGTAATGTTGGTAGTAAACTGGAGGAAATGCTGGTTTAGTCCTATGCTGCGTTCTCAGTGGTTGTCTCTGCTGTTTTTGTCCTTTCCTGATACCAATTCCTGTTTAGAAATGAAAAACTCAAATGATTTGACCAGCTCATCTTGAGACGTTCAGGGCGCAGGTTAAAACTGCAAGAAACTGCAGAAAGAATTTTTCCATGGCCGTAGATGCTCAACTCCAGTAAAAACTGAATGACCATACAGAAAACCCATGGAGTTCTTGGCCAAGCCCTGTCAGGGCCTTCTGAAAGTCTTGATCTCTCCTCATTGATATTCACAGGCAGATTTTATTTTCCGATCAAAAAAAAAGGATGCTTTGTCTGGAGAGTACCTGCTCTGGAATTTATTTTCATATAGTCCCTAATTGTGCTGTTCCTGGGTGCTGATGTTAGCCCAAAAGCGTTCTGCTGTAGGGTTGGTATGTCTCACCCTGGGATACCCTTTAATGCTGGATGTTATTCTCCCGAAATGTCGTTAAGTACTCCTAGGAAAATGTCTGTTTGGTAACCAGAAAGTCAAGTATGCCAGGGAAAGAATTGCAAAGTAACTATGATTGCTGTTTAGCCAAAGCCATGTTGCATTGCTCATGCAATCTGAAAAATCTTCAAAAGCGATGTAAATTATCCCTTTTCCTGTTGGAGCATCTAATACAGCTTTAATGGGAATGGCACAACTCATGTTCAGTGAAGAGGGTACACACTAGCAGCAGGAAACTTGCTGGTGTTCAATAGTTGTTTCCATGCCAGACCTTCATTGGAGATGGTTTTGGTTCACAAAAGCTAGGTCCAGATCTGAACTGTCCTAAACTCTGGGACTGCAGCTGCGGGAAAGGTTCTGGCTGAAATTTAGCCCTAAGAACACAGGATGTGTGTTGAGTTTCTTGCCTTTCTGTCACACAGCTGAACAACATAGATGTGAATGATCTTGTGGAAGGGGATGACCGGGCATTTGAGATCTGGCATGAACGGGAAGACTTGGTCCGCAAGTATCTCTTTCAGGCACGTACAGTGATTATCAAGAACTCCTGGGTGAAGGAGATCTGTGGCATACAGAAGCGGATCAGCGAACCTGTCTGGAGTGAGTACGGCCTGAGGTAGCCCAAACCTCCTAGTTTTTTCTTGGGTGATCTCCCTGATTCAGGAAGAAGATTAGCAAATGAGGCAGAGAAACTATTTAGGGTCATCTGCCACCTCTTAAAACCAACTAGGGCTGGAAGTTTTCCTTTTATCACATCACAGACTGCTGTAAATAACAACTGGTAAGACTTACCAGCAAGCAGCAAGCTTTAACTGGAATGGTTATAGCAGTATTAGGTCCTCCACTTGAGCTAGGGAAGGCACCTTTATCAGAATGGGACAGTGGTGCTTGACTCCATTCATTTACCATCAAGGGAGCCAAGACTGGATATCACTGAAGTGACATGACAGAGGTTCGACAGGACCTGTATAGGGTTTTAGGCAACAGCAGAGTAGGTGAGTAACCTTCTAATTACACTTCAAAGTCCGTAACCTAAGTGTGGAAAACACATGCTGGTGAGCTGAGGAGGGCTGGCTGTCCTTGGCCGATTCAGCTGGTGGGGGTTGCCTTTGATGGAAGATCAGAGTCAGAGGCTGAAATGGTTGCTCGGTTCCCTGTCTTCATATTCATATGTCATCAATAAACAAAGGATGTTGTTTTCCAGCAAAACAGGCCAGAAAATGTGCTTCACTGTAGAAGAGAAACGTTATTGTAACTTCTAAAGCACAAATCGCACAGTTGGCACTAGAAAGACATTTGATCTGGCAGGGATTGAAGAAGAGTAGATGACCATGAAATTTGGTGACAAAGGCCCTGGCCCATGGCATGAAGAGAATCAGACTCCAGTGAGAAAAGGAGTCTCAGGACCTGACTCAGAGTCCTACTGATACCCGCACAAAGCCCCGCTGTGACCTTGTTGGATACTGAATACTCCGCTCCAGACTTTGGCTCACATTGCTGTGTCTGGGCATAGGTGTTTGCTTTGGGTTTGTATCTTGTCATTCAGGCTGCTCCACCCTCACTGTCATTTGAGATTCCACCAATTTTCCATCCACAAAATTTATCAGCAGGGATATTAGGTCTTTATTGTCCAGGTAAAAGCTACAAATGGTGTCCTTTACAGCGTAAGGAAATTTGGCATCTTAAAATGTCAGAAGAGAATTGCGTTTACTGTATATACACTGAAAGCAAGTCTGGGCATTTTATTTTTGTGCTTTTAGTGAGGTGTCATGATGGGGAAGCTTATCAGAATAATTTTGCATAGTTTCATACGGTAGTAATAAGTGCCTTAACAAAGCACAAATTTTATTGTATGGAGACCAACAGAACGCTCGTTTAGATATCAAGGGTTCATTTTAATTGGTGAATTATCTTTACTGTAACAGCTTCTGAATAATAGATGTGCTTATTAAAATGATGGTGTAAAATACTTCCTGATAAGCAACAAATCCCATTTTTTTTATGGTCCATCTTTTATAGCCAGCAACACAGATTTGACAGACTGAATTTAGTCTCAGATAAGCAAGGACAGCATGTCACCTGGAAAGTCATTAGCAGCCAGAATTTCCTGTTCAGCTTTCCATTCTGAACCTCACAGATTTGCAAACATTATACTTATCTTACTTTGCAGTAGCCATCCTACGGACAGAGGCCCCCTCCTCCAGACTAACATGCTTATTCTGATGTTTCAGTACCTCCAGACTTTGAGGAAGAACTGGCGGACTGTACAGCCGAGCTGGGAGAGACAGTCAAGCTGGCTTGCAAAGTTACGGGAGCTCCCAAGCCATCTGTCAGCTGGTACAAAGGTATGAGCAGCAAGGCACGAAATTCTCCAGATTTGTTCTCCATCTCTACTGCTTTGCACTAATTGGCTAGTGGGTAACCTAAGAGCTGACTACCTAGAGATACCCAAGTCTAAAGTTAGCTACTCAACAACCCAAGTAACGTAAATCTTCTTGTAAGCTAATACACTCTGTTTTTTCAGGTTTGCCTGTTAGCCCATATGAATCCACATCTTGTGATAGTTAGACAACTTCTAGTAAATGAACAACTTGTTTAAACTAGTTCAGATGTTTCCATGACATAGCACAGGCAGCTGTGCAGGCATACTCTTCTCCCCAGCATTACTGCATTGCAGAAGAGACAGCTGTGCTATAAGTTCATGCCTTGTAAAGATCTGTTCTGCGTGTTTATGGTCACTTGGGAGGTGTTCCTCTGACTAGCAAATCAGAGCTATAACCGCACAGCACATACTCCAGAAGAATTTCACTTTTAAATGAGGATGGATGATGTATGTGGTCCCTCAGCTGTGCTTTGTTGAGAAGATGCTTTGTAGAGAGCTGGAGGGAGACAAAGAGCTCATTCCTCAACTACCAATGTCAGCTGCAATAAAGTAAATACAGCTCTCAGTCCTGTAAAGCCAAAAAGCTGGATGAAATTCCCAAGGAGAAAACATAATTGATACTAAACTCTGTACAAAGACTTTTTTCCCCTTTATCTTTAAGATGGAAAACCTGTGGAGGTGGATCCCCATCACATTATAATAGAAGATCCCGACGGTTCCTGCACATTGATCTTGGACAACCTAACAGGTGTTGACTCAGGACAGTACATGTGCTTTGCTTCCAGTCCTGCTGGAAATGCCAGTACCTTGGGAAAGATCCTTGTTCAAGGTAAAGTCCTAGATGCATTGTTTCAAAGGGATCTGATATGTAGTACCTGAAACACAAATCTTAAAACTATCACAGAAGTTCTGTAAAACATCTACTGGATAATGCTTTAAAAAATATATATTTGATGTACAGGTGTAGTCAATTGTTCTTAGGTCAATAAATTTGGTGTTTAGTGTCTTCTTTGCAGACATCATGAGAATTGTCTGGTCAGAGACACATCTTTTGTATCTGGTCATATTTCCAGCTACATTTATCCTTGTTTTGCAGTGCCACCACGGTTTGTGAACAAGGTTAGAAATGCTTATTTTGTGGAGGGTGAAGATGCTCAGTTTACCTGTACTATCGAAGGAGCACCTAGGCCTCAAATCAGGTCAGTTCTTCAAGTCACACTGGACCAAATCCTGTTTCCCCATTTTGCATGGTCACAAAAGTCTCCTACCCTTTCTTTCAAGGTTATGACCCTTTCTTCTCTGTTTCTTCCACCTTAACCTCATCCCAATGCTGGCTCTTCCCAATCCCAACATTCCTGAAATTCTCAGCAATTTATTCTATCTAGGATCTGAAAAGAAATACCTACAGATAATACCTGCCATAGGGCTGTATGAGATCTAATGCCCAGACAACATTTTATCATTCCTTTATCCTCCCTGCCTTACACTTGAATTTATTTTGTCAGCAACCAGTCTGGGGTATTCAGACAAAAAGCTCAGCATAGCTTCACATGATTAGAAGCCCTTTTACCTGCATGAGATTCTTTTGAGAATAATCTCATAAACCTGTGCAGTTTAGCATCCACATGTGATGTACTCCCCTGTAGACCCACCTTCCAGGATCCAAACTTTTGTCTAATGGTTAACTCTTGAGTTGTTCGCCCACTGGTCTGATAGATGGATTGGTGAGCTGCGGAATTCTTGACACTGCATGTGTTTTCCTGGCTTATACTCGGTGTTTGCCACATGCAGATGGTACAAAGATGGTCTACTGCTGAAGGACACGAGTAAATACCAGACTTTCAGTGAACCACGGAGTGGCATCATAGTCCTGGTGGTCAAGAACCCTTCCAATGAAGATATGGGACACTACGAATGTGAGGTAAGTTCGGAGAGATTTAAAGATCTGCTGTCTGACATGACATAGGTAGAAGAATTCATTTTACTGGGAGAGATCCATTGTATGAGAACAGTGGCTGAGTAATTGCTGCTGCCTGCCATATCAAAAAAGTTTATACAAAGTCAGATTCTGCTGAACTAGATCTGGACTGTGAACATCTGAAAGCTTCAGAATATTCTGATCTGAGAGTTTGGCGTTCAAATAATAATTGAGTGAGCTTGTTCTGTAGCTTAAATTCAGATCCAGACATCTAGAGGTACCTCTTACAAAGTTTAGGACCATTCTGATGTGATGTTTTGTTTCCAAACCATCTTTAAACTAGAACAGATTCATGCCGCTACAAGGAAACCATCCAAAGCCAAAAGGAAGAAATTAAATCTAAACAGAAGTGTAAACCACTGAAATTCCTTTTTATTTAGCAAGCATATGTGGAAGTATCTACTAAATTAAAATAAATGTGCTGTAAAATATTTTCTAAAAATTAGTCATAGTCTATGCATTCATTGTAATAAAATAGCAATAAGGTCTCAGGGCTCAGCAACAAGAACAGCTGACCTTGATTTGGGAAATTAGCATTGGTCAGCTGACCCATGGTAAATGGCTCAGCTCACACCAACTTCACAGTTGTTCCACGGAAATTTTTAGGAAGTCTGATTTAATTTAAAGACTTCTACTAGGATTTTAGCAAAATCACATTACCTTGAGTTTGCCACCAGCTAAGATCCCAAAGTCCAGTATTCCCTTGGCTGAGTAAGACTCTGTTGAGTAATGGATGATAAACAAAAAAGCCTCTTTACCACTTGAATGCAATATAACAGGGATGTGTGCCTGTTGGTAGAGACAGAGCTACCTCAGGACCAAGTCACAGGCTGCAGAGCAAACTGTAAATAACAAAGTTGGCTGCTGTGCCGTAACTTGTCTGTGTGAGTCATTTGTGGTAAAGCACTATCATGAACTCCACTGAGCACCAGCACATTCATTCAAACTTTGGCTTTGGTTTGGGGTCACATCTTCATCCATTTCTGTTGTCATGGAATTGCAATGAATTTGTAATATAGCATAGGAAGGTTTTATTACACCAAAAACACCCTGCGTTTCATTTGGTACCACATGATTCTCTTTAGCTGGTGAACAGATTAGGGTCTGCAAAAAGCGGAGCAGAACTTTACCATCACAGTGCTGCAGCCCTGACCCAGGAGAGGAGAGGAGACCAAGCCATTACCATAGAAGGTATGATCCTTGATCAGCTCTGTGAGTATGTCAGTGAATTATTCTAAAACCATCTCATTGAGGAGCGAATATTTTTGCCATCTTATCCATGTTGATTGTTGGTGTACACGTATCTGTATGTTTACCGAGATGTGCATGGGTATACTGCCGCTCAGCTCTATACCCATCACCATCTGTTGATTTCCAAACCTGGCAAATCAACTTCATCATATAATGTTCATGAATGCATTATATGAAAAAGGAGGAGCAAATGAAGTGTATGTCACACCACCACTAGTGCAAGAAAAATGTTTCTGTTCTTGTTGGAATACTTGAAAACGTGCGCCAGACTAGCAGAACATCAGTTATGTACTGCTGAGGAAACCCAGAGGCCAGTAAGTAAAGCTGCAGGCATATTGTGATCATTTCTGAAATACCACCAAAGACCTGGAATGACATTCATCCGGAATGACTGAGAAAGCAGAACTGACAGCAGCTTATCTGGGCATTGTTAGTTCGTCCATTATCTATGACTATTCAGATACTACACACCACATAGTCAGAGTCTATTCCTCTTTTTTCTGCATGTTTCACCTGAATTGGAAGGGTGCTATGGACTGATTTTAGACCCATCCAACAATGCATCTCTTTCTTAACACCTTTAGGATGCGACTGCCTAAAGTTACCTTCTTATCAAAGGGATTTTCACAAGCAGTATGTTAGACAGGCTTGCTACAAACCCATCCCAGCCGAGTGTAGATCAGCAGCTACATCTGCATAAGGAATGTTTCCTGGCATAGTAAATTGCTTCTTCGTGCATCTCAGAAGTGTCCTTGGCTGGCTGAGCATGAGCCAGCCCATGCTGCCTCTCAAACAGTTCCCAGCAGCGGTTC